GCCATGGCAATGTATAGCTGGGTATCATTAGCATATTTAAAACACAGTGGCAAATAAGTTCTCCCAAAGATTTTGTGAGATGCTAAGGAGTGGAGGGAATTACACTATATGTATGAAGGGCCACAAGGTTGATGTTTTCTCCCTGATCACTACCAACTGGATCACCTGCTAAGGTAGTAGTAGAACTGCTTCAAGTCCCTCAGAGGCACTCCAGGATTCCATGGTCAGTGATGTCAAAAGTAATTGAATAGTCTTTTGGGACTAGAAGACTCCAAGCTTCCAAAAAAGCTCATTGATCCGCACAACCAAGTCTGTTTCTGTTCTATGTCAAGGCCTCAATTCTGTTTGAAAGTGGTACAGATGATTTCTTCAGGATACTTTGTCATTGTTTGCCTACCACACTTTCAGTAACCTTACTCCAAAAGGAAAGCTTAAAAATTGGATAATGGTTGTCAAATAAGGCTGGATTTGTATGTGTTTCTTTCTTAGAGGGGGCACACCATAGCTTCTTTCAAGGTTGGAGATATCACAGTTCTTATAAACATCCAGCCAACGTTGTTTCCATTTTTTTTCCTGAAAGGAGCCAGAAAGGAAGGGGTCCAGAGGTGGTAGTTATACAAAAGAAAACTCTGCTCATTTCATCAGAGTTCATAGGCCAAAAGGAATTACAGATGTCACAACTTACTTCATAACGATCCCCATGAACAATCAAGATGTTGGTGAATATGAACAATTTTGTTGGCAAAATGGTGAATGTGAACAGAAAAGCTAGGCTGGGATCTACTTGTTCATCCCTCTCTAACAGGGGGTTGTATTCTTAAGGAAGACTGAGAGTCCTCTGATGCAATGAGAAAGAACCAGAGATGCTTCCACCACAGTGAAGGCCCAAACCTGAACATATACTGTATGTAGACTCAGATTTACTTCTCTTTCATCACCAGCACTCTGGTATCATTATTATGGCTTCATACTTGTTTGGTTTTCAGGTTTTCAGTATGCAAGGGACTAAAGTTGGTGTGCAGAGGTCATGCAGGGGCAATCATGTTGAGAATCTGGGCTGCTTCTTGTTACCAATTACTTTTTGCTAGTGATTGCCAGCAATCCATCCATATCCTTGAGAGGCATGGGGAAGATTAACTGAATTGGTCTATTCACCCTGCAGAGGTTGTAGTCAACCTCGTATAGACCAGGAAACTGACCATGGGAAAGGGTTAAAGGCTATGTCCTCATTTTCAGATCACACAACCATTGTGAGGCAAAAACATTGCTCAACATACAGCTATCTAGTTTTAGTTTCCTGATCTGAGCATTAGTGAGAGCTCAGAAAGGATTAATATAACAAATGAGAAGGAAAATAACCACAAACTCAGTTAAATGAATCTATCCAGTAGAATTCAGAGTTATTTTGGAGCAAGAATCTATGCTACACAAATACTGATTTTCCCCTCCATTCAAAACTACCCAAACCTGCTGAAGGGAAGGGTGTGAACTATTTTAAAATAAAGACAAATGTTGGAAATATGATAGACTGAATCTGATTGTGCCCAATAGTCCCTACAAGAAGCATTTGTCCCAGTTGTGCATTCTGTTGCATGCTGAACAGCAACTATTTATGGGCCTGGCTCCAACTAGATTTGTTGATGAAGTGGAGAAACAGTCCAGCATGGTTTTAGTTACAGTCACTGTAAAAACTGTGACAAATTGTGGCTGCTGTGAACAACACAGACCCTGCCCAATCAGAACTTGAACCACTTGCTGGAAATTACTGAGGCTTGATGAAATGCTTTTCAAGAAATGCCAGGGCTTATTTATTTGCTCTGTTCAATCCCAGATTCTTTTCATCCAAAGTCCCCTATGTTATCACCCATATTCCTTTCTAGTGTTTTTGAGATGATTGAAGATCAGTATAGGCATTCATTCTTGGGAAATTAATTCAGTAACTTTTTAAAGAGTAAATGACTATAAGCCTCTGGCTCATGAGATGTGGCATGGCAAATATTTGTGCAGACCATGCAATGTATCTTCTACTGTGTTCTAATTATACATATATAAATATATTGATACAGACACAGAAACCAATCTCTATAAATATGTGCAATTATGAGGTAAAAGGTCAAATATCATATTTGTATCGTTTTTGGGCAAAGACTCACCTATGTGGATTTCTCTCAGCTGCTTCATACATTACCCCAGTAAATATACTTTTGTGAAGTATAGATTTAGTTGCTCTAGAACATATAAGAACTTTGACAGAACTTTTTCTTCAAGTAGAATTCCTTAAAGGAAATCTATACACATCTTCAATAGATTCAGCAGCATCCCCCAAAGAGAGATTGATTGTTCTTGTTCCAGTTCCTTTATCAGTTACACGGACATTTAACCAAGAAAGATTCCAAAAGAACTCTGAATTCTACTGGGTAGATTCATTTAACTGAGTTTCCATTTCACTATACTCCTATATCCCAGTTTACTGTTAAAAAGAACTGGGATGTGTTCAAAAGTGACAATAATAAATGATAAAGGATCAAGCAATTCTGGATGCAACAGAAGTATTTTGCCATCGAAAGATGAATCAATGCATTTTGTCTAATTACTGAAGAGATTCAGTAATTTGTATAAAATTTAATATAACAGGCAAATATGTTAACATCTGACAATATATTTAATTATCTTTCAACAATATCCTAGTGACCATCCACAACACCTGAATTACCAGCAAAACTTTAAAATAGAAGTATAATTAAAATTAATTAAAACACCTTTTGATTTTGCAGTAATAACTTACTAATTAATATAAGTTAACATAACTTCTTAATAGTTAAGGGTTTTAAAGAACATTTAAAACAGTGTTTCTCAACCTTGACAATTTTAAGGCATGTGGACTTCAACTCCCAGAATTCCACAGCTAGCATTGCTGGCTGTGGAATTCTGGGAGTTGAAGTCCACATGCCTTAAAATTGTCAAGGTTGAGAAACACTGATTTAAAATGTTCCTTATTATCTTAAAGTGAGACTAATTTCATACATTTTAAAATATGACACTTCAGAGAATATTTTAAAAGCTTAGTCTCATGCCAAGTAAAAAATGATAGAAGCAACATTCACATATGATGCTGTTTTCCTGTTTAATATCCGTTTATTGATATCCTTTGAACAAGGGTAGTATGATTTAAAGATATATGATTTGAGGTTATAAATAAAAAAATTGAATTTATCAATATCCCTTTGCTGAGTGAAAGGAACAGCAGAAATTACTGTTTTATAATAAAAGACAATTAAAGGTGACTAGTTTTCACCTTTGGAATAAAAACTTTTATCAACATAATGATCAATATCATTCCATATGATTAAGGTTTAATATGGTTTTTAATGGTTATTTTAAAATGTAAGTACTTTGTCTTTTTTATCTTTACCTCTTTTTATCAGCATATTAGTAAAAAAATTGAACTATACTGCCATCTGTTGGCAGTGGAAACATACAATTAGCACATAAATATTTGAGCAAGGGATTAAAATTGCCTATGTAATGCATAACTTCTGTGTAAAACTTTTATACATTTACGTTAGATTTCATGTTATTAGGCTATAGGCACACTGAGAATATAAAATCTACACAGCTGTTAAATCAAAACATGCTATTTACTTTTATCAGTTACCTTAAGAGCATTCACTATGTTATAATAAATTATATTATATTGTAATAAATATATTTCCACCTTTTGGGGGATTTTTTAAAGATGCCAATAACATAATTATTGCCCCAGAAGAGACCAAGGTAGGGATCAAAGGAATTGATTTTCTCAAGTCTCACAACTTAAAGCAATAATTATCTCTGCCTATAGTTTTCAAGGTCTTCAAATTATCTGCTGCCATAAATGTTCTAAATGAGATATTTTTTTTCTAAAAAGCAGTTTTCATTCTGTTAGCCTCCCAGAGTCATAGATATGAGATGGATGGTCATATACATTTATGACATGAATGAATGAATGAATATGCTGAACCTGCCATAATTAGCCCCCTGGGATAAAAAGCTGTAGCTGAAGACACACAGATTATGGCAACTCCCTGATCAAAGGTGGCAGATTGATTCCAGCACAGTTGCTCTCAAGGCAGTGGGAGATGCATCTTTCTCCTTTCCCTCTCAGTCACTTGGCTAATTGCCTCAAGATTCCTTAGGTACAAAACAGCAAGGCCTACTCTTCTGGCCCATTGCTTTGCTCCTTTTTGACCCCATGAGGGCAGCCTGATGATCCCAGCTGCTTGGGCCATGCTTTCCTTCTCTTTATGCATCTCATTTATGGATCACATTCTTATACTCCCAGCAATTCCCCCACTGCCCCATTACTACTTTCTAGTTCCACAATCATGTATGAGCAATCTTGTTTCTACGTTCAAAGCTTGATTAAAATGTATTCAAGGGTGCCTCCCTTGCAGCTTGTTATTCTAATTCCATCTTTTTTTCTCAAAGATAAAGTTACCTTGGTTTTTTTCACAGATGGCAATTCCATGTTCTGTGATCTTATCTACTTTTGCATGGCTGCACAGAAAACAAGATGAGCATAGCCTCCCAGTCAAGAGTCAAGTTTGATACAAGAAAAACTTAGGGTAGCAACATTTAACCAACTTGGCTTACCTCAGAAAAACAGAAATAGGCCACAGTTGCTTGTATCTATAAGTGCGACATCTTATTGCTTATCCCCAAAGGGAATAGTGGGATGTATATGTACATATGTTTGTATTCACAAATGGCAATAACAAACCATGTTATTGCTGCAAAAAAACCTTATACAACTAAGTCCATATGGTTATCAAAAATTGCAGTTGACTTAGGTGATTCTTTACTTGTGTAGTTCATCTTTAATTTATATAGCACAGTTGTATTCTGACCATTTGTAGAATTTCCTTCCTTCAAAGAGCTATTATATTTTCTCGCTCTCCTTCCTCTCTCTCTGGGTGCATATATATACAGTATTTGACATTTACAAAGAACATAAAACAAGGTATTTGTCCAAAACAGCTTTAATTCAATGAACCTTAGCAACAAAGCAGGGTAGAGTATGTTCCAAAGACTTCAAACTAGTTATCCACATAAACAGAGCTTATACTGTACCTAAAAGTCAAATGAAGAAGATACTTGTATTAAGATAATATTCAACATACTGAATACTATTGTCTGAAAGTTATGATGAACATCCAGGTAACAATGTCTTTTTTTTCCAGTTCATATTGGTAACTATTGCAACCTCAAAGTCATTTATGCCACTCTTAAGATGCAAGAACTACAGAACAGTCTCTTATAATCATTTGGAGATGCAAAGCAGTCAGCTACCTCTCTTTTATATTAAATGCATATTTCAGTACTTGCCTCGCAAGATCAGCCAGGTGCTAATTTAACAAAGCGAGAAGAATCATTTCAGCCTTTTTTTAAAGCTGAAGTACAGTTGACATTTTACCTTAACGCAAGCTAATACTGGGCTACTGGTAAATTCTTTTTTTATATAATAGATTTATTAGTTTACAAGCTCCTGATAAATACTGAGTAATATGTGCTGTTCACAAAAAGATTTCAGACAGGTCCTATAAGCCAAATTATTCTAATCTGTTACAGATAAGAAAAATGCTACAGTAAATATATCCAAACATATTCAATTCCTGTTGAAAGTGTGCTATAAACAGCTTTAAAGCATTCATTGAAGACAGGGACATTCATCCAAGAGTTATACACTTGGTGACAAGTTACTGATAAAAGCAGTACATTTGTTTTAACAACAAACGTGCATAGAAATCAGAAAGATATATGTTTCAGAAAGGGCTCTGATAAATTTTTGTGTTAGCCATAGCCTTTGCTGTGTCATGGAGTCCCAACACTAGGAATATTTCTTGCCAGATAATAATTTCAAGATTTGTCCTATAGCTAACAAACAAGGCAAAATAATTGATTGCCAAATATATTATGCTTTTTATCTTCCAGAAAACATTAGTCAAATTGGAAACCCCCTTCAATAAAACCTAAAATGCTTAGAAAAAAGACTAATAGTTTTTGAAAGTAGATCAGACATAGAATGTAAATATTAATACTCCTCCCCTTAGGGTTTGAATTTTCTAGCCAAGAAATGAGACAATAGCCTATTTAATCTGCCTTTTCCAAAGAACTGAAGTTCTTGTCAGTATTTAGTATTGGCTGAGAAGGAATTTATAGTTCAAAAGCTGGGAATCTAGCTCTGGTTGGTATCAGAAGATCTGCAAGAAAATATATTGTTCCAGCCATTCCTGTAAAAACAACAGACAACAATAATTATGCTTAAACAGATACCTGGCCTTCAATTTCCAGAACTATTAGCAAGTATCAATAGTAGCTAAAGAAATCTGGGAATTTAAGTTCAAGATCTCTGCAGGGTACCTAGGTTGGAAGAAGACTGGTTTAGAACACGGGTGTCAAACTTGTGAGTCATGTGACGTGTTGCAACGTTATCACAACTTTGGGGTGTGGTTTTGGTGTGACACATCTGGCCTGCGGGCCGGCAATTTGACACCCCTGCTTTAGAAGAACAGATAACATGTATTTTTCAATGATTTACTTATGGTAATAGTGAAATAGCAAACGTCTAGATGTAATAAACATTTCTAAATAAAGAACGAACTGAAAGTGTTGCACAGTGACTGTTAGACGGAAGGGTGAAACAGGAAAGTTTCTGAACAATTAATTTCAGGTGTGCCATTAACTAGCCAAAATCCTTATGGAGGGACACTTTCTCTCAGTATCTGCAATACAACAGTATCTGATAATACAAAATATTTCCAATATTATATAAGTGTTGGTGCTGATTATAATAGTAGTATGATCAATTCCAATATGATATGGAAGAGGGATAGAGAAGTCCATATTATATTTTTAATTACTTTTCGTCAGTTTGACTTTGAGATCCTCAAATGCTTTTTCTTTCTGTTTCAGTTTGTTATAGATAAGCAAAAGAAGCAGCTGAATCCATTTTAGTAAAATCAGAGATTTCTCCCCCCCCCCCAAAAAAAACAGAAACAACCCATTTGTCTGCTCTAACAAAAGCCTCATTTAACCAAGAACACTTTTAGATGGGTTGGGGTAACTATATACCAGCATTCTCAACTAATAAATAATCCTTACACATCTGGAGGGCAACAGATGCAAGAAGCTACATATAGAAATGTAATATTCAGCTGCAAATAATTTGATTTGGTCCACATGTATTTGGTCCACATTATTAACTTATTAAGACATTTGAGCCTATGAGACAATATTTCAGTTATCCAAGCCCAATTGTTACTATCATTCAGTCAAAAAGGAAAGTGACTATTACCTTCAAAAAGGGAAAAAGGAGTGTCTGGTGTTCGACATCCATGTTGCCCATAACTTAAACACCATTCTGCAAACTAAAAAAAAATACACTTTTATCTAGTATAAGTAATTTTTTGTAGGGATCTTACAGCCATTAATGCAATTCACAAGATATGTCTCAAGATATGCTAATACTGAAAATCAATCAATCTGGACATATAGAATATTCAAGAACTTTACCTGCTGCTAACAATATATTTGCAGCTGTTTTGTAAGTCTTTTCTAAGTATTTTGCAAACATTGACTGGCAAAAAAAGAAAATCAGGCTGGGCTTGGGAAGGAAGCGCCACCTTTTGGCGCAAATCAAGGCCAAAAGCTGAATAGAAGCACGACATACGGGACAAGAAAGCTTAGGGTAGGCAGATTAGACAAGAAGGCTGAGGGAATTCTTCACATTCAGGCTCCTAATCCTGATTGTTCTTGAGCTTTAAGATGGGTGGACTTCAAGCCTTAGAATTTTGGCTGGGGAACTTGGGAATTTAAGTTCAATTACCTTAGAATAGCTAAAATTGAGAAACACTGTACTAGAAGATCTCATATCCTCCAGAGCAGGTTTTTATTTAAGATTGAAAGGGCTGTAGAAAATAGGGTAAATGATAAAAAGTAACTTTTTTCTCCTACAAAAGCATGGAATATTGACAATAAACTTCAATTACAATTATCACCAAAATTCAAAGCCTGTGACTATATAAGGGAAAAGAAAAGAAAAACAGGTAATTTCACTTTAAGCTCTGTGACTAATAGGGGAATGATAGGTTAACAAAAGTGGCTTCTGTGTACGAAATTTGCAATATCAACAACCATGTTTTGCATATTTGCCAAAAAAAGTAAAAAAGGTAGCAGTTCAGAAGTTCTGCAGATCTAAATCCCAAGCAACTTGCTACCTTTTTCCCCCAACAGTTTGAGGGTTTTTTAAAAATCCAGATAAATAAAGTCAGAATAAGACAGTCCATTTTCCAGTCTTTCAAGGCAGATAATCAAAGTTATGTGAAGTAGTCATCTACATTTTGTCTGTCTGGTTAATTTTTCTGCAGGCCAAGCTAGACATTTTGTCCCATATAAACATGTGCTCACCTTGCAAGCTCTGTAGAGGTATTTCATGTCTTGAGTAAGGTTGTACAGTGCCAGGAAGGCATATGCGTTGCCTGCAGTACCATGGCACAGCCCGTACCCTTTCTTCAGCAACCCCCACTGCCATATCACATCGGCACATTGCAAGGCATCACTGAAATACTTCTGTTCCCCAAACACCTGAGAAAACAAGCAGCATTTTGTTCTCTTCCTTATTATTGGCAGCTTCTTCCATCATTCAAGGATGAAACAGAAAAGGGTCAACATAGTCTTGCTAATTAGTGGCTATTCACTCTCTCTGGGACAAGAACAGAAAGACTTTGTCATTTTCCTTGAAAAGATCTCTTGAGCGATAAATGGAAGGAATGTCACTACCAGCTGTCGCTATTACAGTAAGACCATCAAAATGCATGGCAGAGACATCTAATATCCATTTTAGTTAGAGCAGAAATATTAAACAATCTGACAGGAAGGGATAAAATCTTGTTCCATTGTCTAATTGTTGCTACCTACCTTATAGGCCTGAAGGAGCATATAGATAACACCGGGTGCACCATGGCACCAATGGACCAGCAAATCTCTATTGTCTCCGATGCAGGGGGGGTAATTGCCAGAGACAAACTTTAACTGGCAGACGTAATCCACACTTGGCTTGACCATGTTATGCAACTTTGCTTGACTCACACCAAGACCAGGCTGAGTAAGAAAATACACATGATCTTAAATCAATTATAAGATGCAACTTCATCTTAGTTTATGCGTGGCCTTAAAAATATAAAAGATGTAACTGCCCCTAAATTGTCTGACTCCGAAGGGGACTGTAAAATATTCCAGACATTAAATATAATATATGCATGCCCAAGTTCTTAATCTCTAATAGCAAATTAAAGATTTGTTAACAGCAAGATTTAATTTACCTTATTAAAAAGGAGTATCATAATTCAGAAGAGTACTATTAAGTCATATTAAAAGCAGAAGAAAAAGGTATCATCATTTACCAATTATTTGAAAAAGCTAGCAGAAGTGGAACCAAAGCAAACTGCTCTATGACAGCCTTTTTATTTTTTCAGGTTTTAATCTAAAAAAAAATTCAGTTAAACTATTGAGTTTATTATGTTTTCATAATAAGGTCTTATGTTTCATGTACTGCTATTTAAAACTTTAAAATACCTTAGTTATATTTTTGGCTTACGGTTGTAACAATCAGTGGACTCTATTTTGCACAGAGGATATAAATTTCTGTGGAAAAAGAATATTTGCCCCATTTACAAACTCAGAGTTTTATTTTATTTTACAACTTGGGCCACCATTAATGGTGATGAAGTCTCTGGCCATGCCTAAACCATTACATGAATGGCATTACACTTCTAAACAGAGCTTTTCCTTACTGCAGGATGCCTCTCACCTGCAGCAGGTAGTAATAAATTCCTGCTAGACCATGGGCTGCTCCTACATAATACTCCTGGTACCATTCGTACATGAGTGGGCTCTTAGCTGTGAACTTCCGCTTCTGGGCCAAATTCTCACCGGATGCCATAACTGCCTCACAGACCTACAGGAGAAATCAGAAATAATGATTCAAAATTTTATTGCTGGCATAAATAAAAGGGGAAAAGTATAACAATAATCTATTTTAAGTATTTTAGATAGCACGATGGACTTGAACTTTTAAATATTCCAGTATCGCTCCATGAAGTTTGCTAAGAAACTGCCTCATAGGAGTTTCCCAGATAAAATGATTATGTAATCTACACCTCTGTCTGTTCACAGCCAAGTGCAATTTGAATAAATAATTTTCTTAACCTACAACTATCATGCTAGTTGGTATTTAAGGAACAGTGTTGTATTTTTAAATAAATAAATATTTAAATATTTCCAGGCACACACCCCCCCCCAAAAAAAAGAAAAGAAAAAAAACCAGACCTTTCCATATTTCAGGAGATTTTGTAATTATACTCTTCAAATCTTGTGGAATTTGCTAATCATGTGAGATCTAGAAATTTTACGAAATTTTGGCCATTTTTTTAAAATGGGGTTAGCATTATTAACCATGGAAGGAGTTTCTAGATACAAGTAGTCCTCGGCTTACAACCATTAGTTTATGACTGTTTTCTCTCTCTCTCTCTCTCTCTCTCTCTCTCTCTCTCTCTCTCTCTCTATATATATATATATATAATATATATATATATATATATATATATTATATCTGAGGTTTTCGTGGGTATTTGTATGTAGGTCTTTGGTTGTTCGGGTTTTCTCCCGCGTAAAATTGGAAGTGTCTTGGCAACGTTTCGACGAAGTCCCATTCGTCATCTTCAGGCTGGTGTTTTCAGCTTCGTGCTTTGAGCAGCAAGCACGAAGCTGAAAACACCAGCCTGAAGATGACGAATGGGACTTCGTCGAAACGTCGCCAAGACACTTCCAATTTTACCCGGGAGAAAACCCGAACAACCAAAGACCTACATATATATATATATATATATATATATATATATATATATATATATATATATATATATGACTCTTTGTAGCACAGTGCAAAATAACATTATAACCTCAACTTTTTACTTTTACACATTAGTATGTAACAAGCCATTTCTATAACAAATCTATCTAATCGGCAAAACCAAAGCCAAAGTTTCATTTTTTATATCATAAGCACAAAGTCCAGAAGTGACATCCAAATAAAAAACATAATTAAATATATTCTCCTCTTTGAATAATCAATTTAATCGTTTCTGCTTTATCTTCCTTGCTGTGGAGATAATATGTATTTCTATTTGCACTTAACAGTCTTTATAAACTATCACCATTTATATTAACCAAATTCACTGTACTCTTTCAGATTCTATAACCTTAAAGAGAAAAATACTTTTTTTTATCCATTTAAAACACTAAAATTTTCTTTAAAAACATTTCTAAAATCAAAACTTTTTAATACATCTTTTTTTAACTTCCTCTTAACATACATATTATAGTTCACTATTAAATTTAGATCACTCCTTCTAAGCTACCCTCACAGAATATTTTTTTTCTTCTTGTATACATCTTTTTTAAAACTCTAAACTTTTCTTTAAACTAATACATCTTTTTCTTTAACTTTCTCTTAACATACTCTCAAATACACTTTCAATAATATTTACAAACTTTAGGAATTATTTAAGCATTATTTCTCCCCAGCTCTCCAGCCCGCCAACTCTGGGCGCAATAACCTTGGATTCCCATGGCTGAGTTATTATTGTTATGACTAACTGGACTCTCATCCACATTCCCCCTCTCAGCATCAACTAACTCTAAAAGCAAAAGAGTAAAATGGTTGCATTTCCATCTGTTGTCAATGCGAGAACATCCGATGTTAGCAGCGTTGACATCTCTCTTTTTCTCAAGGATTTCTCAATCTTATAAATATCTATGACAGTGGTTCTCAACCTGTGGGTCGGGACCCATTTGGGGTCGAACGACCATTTCACAGGGGTCGCCAAACAATGCAGTCCGCCATTTTTTTCCTCTTTTCCTTAGCTGTGCTACTCCCTTTTATTCTATTGGCTTTTGAAAGCCAATAGAATAGATTCTCTTGAATAGAGTCTAATTCTATTGGTTTCAAAAGCCAATAGGAATTGTCCAGGCTGCCTCTGCCCTGCTGAGCCCACCAAAAGTCCCATTCTGCAAACGGTGCTGCACCAGTTGAGTAGTCCTTGACTTACGACCAGTTGAATAGTCCTCGACTTACGACTGGTTGGGGGTCGCGGCATTAAAAAGGTTGAGAACCACTGATCTATTTTTATGTAAATATTTTTCAAATATATCACTAATAATTTGCTACTCCATCTTCTTAACTCCTTCTTTAGTCAAAGAATAACTTTTTTGTAAGTCACTTAAGAATTGCTGGGCAATCAGGAATCATGAAAATCAGAAAGTTTTAACCACCCACAGCAAAGCAGACCAAGCTACAAATTATTAAAAATAATAAATTAAAACCACAACTTTCTGCTCTTATATTTCTCCATCAACTTTTTTTAAAAAAGATATTCATTTAGTAATTGTTCACAAAGTGCCTTGTAATTATTTTTCACACTGCTGCAGCATCCCATTGATTACATGATCAGAATTCAGATGCTTGGCAACTGGCATGTATTTAAGATGGTTGCAGTGTCCCGGGGTCATGTGATCACCTTTCTGACTAGTAAAGTCAACGGGGAAGCCAGATTCAGTTAGCAACCATGTTACTAACTTAACAACTGCTGTGATTCACTTAACAATTATAGTGAGAAAGGTTGTGAAATGGGGCAATACTGACTTAACAATTCTCTTGCTTAGCAATGAAAGTTTTGGGTTCACTGTGGTTGTACGTCAAGGACTACCTCTACCGAAGTAGCACAAGATACCAAAAAAAAAAAAAAAAAGGATAAAGTACCTGTTGGATATGATTTTGAGGGATCTTTTCCTCTCCAAAATGTTTGTTCACAAACAGCAGAGCAGATAAATACCCCATACGTCCATAAAGCATTTCATCAGGGATTCGTGGATCTGGTTTGGGTAGATGCAACAAGCTTGGGGGGGAAAAAGATTTTATAAATCAATGGCATGAAAAGTTCCCCCTACTCCCAAGCTGAGAAGGCTTTCTAAACATGTTTAAATTGTGCTATAGTTTATTTTGCAATGATATATGATATGATATTACATTACATTACAGGCAGTCCTCGACTTATGACTACAATTGACCAAAATTTCTATTGCTAAGTGAGACATTTGTTAAGTGAGTTTTGCCCCATTTCTCGCCACCGTTGTTAAATGAATCACTGCATTTGTTAAATTAGTAACATGATTGTTAAGTGAATCTGGATTCCATATTGACTTTGCTTGTCAAAAAGTCACAAAAGGGATCACATTATCCCAGGACACTGCAACTGTCATAAATATGAGTAAATTGCCAAGCATCTGAATTTTGATCACATGACCATGGGAATGCTGTAATGACTGTAAATGTGAAAAATGCTCATAAGTCATCTTTTTCAGTGATTTTGTAACTTGTCATTAAATGAACTGTTGTTAAGTCGAGGACTATGTATACATTACATTATCCTTAATTAGCTCTCTTCAAAAATATGTATATTATTTTCCATGAAGATCACTCTGTGATTTTTAAGTCTTTATTCTTAATTGTTTCTTCCTCTACATTTTTCCTCACAGTGCACCTAATATCTTTTTCAACCTTATTTTCTGCAATGATTTCTTTTACTTATCAAGCATCCATTTTCATAATCCCCATATTAATTGACAGGTTGAATTTATACTCTTCTGTGGTCAGGATAAATTCTCAGTAATTTACACTATAACAACATATAATAGAATCAAGGGCAAAAACAAGACAAATACAGAGAACCATCATACCTATCTCAAATCACTAACAGCAAACCTTAGGCTTCAAATGCCCAGTGAAAGAGGGCCTTTTCTTTCAGAAAGATGCCAAGGTAGGTGCTACATGAACCTTTGAGATTTGTGGGAGACTGCTGCACAAGATGGAGATTACCACAGAAAAAGGTCCCCATCCCTCCTATTTCATGAATGGAGTAAACCGTAAACATCCCCATCTAGGAGGAATGCACCATAAACATTAGTTTTACACAGAAAAGGATGTCCTGAAGATACCTGGGAACCATGTCATTCCCAGAGCAGGCTGCTGGATTTTGAACTATTTGCCATGTGTAACAAACTCCAAAGGCAGCCCCATGTGCAATGCATTGCAATAATCCACACTAGTAGCAGATAAGCATGCAAACCATTGTAAAGATCATCTTACTCCCTGTATGGTTGTAACTGGTACATTAGCCAAAACTGGGCAAAGGCTCTTCTGGCCATGATTCCAACAATTGTTATCCAAGTATTTTTTAATTCAAGTTTTTAAGAAAATATTTGGCATATTAGTCAAGGTAGAGCTCCTCAGCTTTCAAGGACAATTATTTTACAATTTCATGCTTTATTCCAATAATACCATTGGAAGGCACTATTTGATTAGATTGAATTCTCACTCTGAGAACAGGAGTTAAGTGTGGAAGAAACAAAAGAAAAAATTCCCAAATGAAACAAATAGAACTACATTTATATGAATACAGTTCTTTTTTTAATAATATTTTATTACTTTCTTAATTTTACATTTAGGTATTTAAAAAGCAATGTGGTGGCTGGGTTAATCAATAGTTCAATAACATACAAAAATCTTTAGTATAAATCTCAAGTTACAACATCAAATATTTCCTCTCTGTTTCCCTTAATATCTACTATCTCGTATTCAAGCTAATACAGTTCTTATTGTATCAACTAAGTAAAAACATCATTATTACGTTTATCAATAAATTTTAGCTTATACATTTTAATTGCTTTACATTCAATCTTTATAGAAAATCAATGTCCTGTTATTGATTTATTCCCAATTTTTAGTTTCCCATCAACATTCATATTTAACATTTGATATTTAAAATTTTCCAGGCTTTAGATAACCAAAGTTTCCCTTATCTCAATTCATAACAGAATCTAATATTCAAAATACACGTCTTATCTATTTGAGTATAGTCTTGTTCTATTTCCTAAAAGTTATCTATTTCCCACCAATTAAATCATCTAATTAATAATATAGCATCCCCTTTAATAAATCAAAACCATTATATATATTTTCTGGGTTAATCAATAAATCAAACATAGTCATATTTTTTTTCTTTTGGGTCTAATTTTTAAATATTAAACAAATCCTTATTTTCAACTAATTTCCAAATATTTTAAATTTAATGACCAAAATTCTCCTTATCTCAACTTCTCCCTTTAGCCCTCTAATTAGTAATATGAAATCCCCTCTAATAAATCAAACCCCCAATTTTCTTCAGCCTTATTCAGGCTTTCTTCTTTTGCCAACTAGCCTTCCATGTCAGTGCTTTTAAGTCATCAAATAGATCTCCCTCTATTATTATATATATTATTTGAAATAAGAGAGACCATTTAATTGCAATATTTTTGGAAGGGCTAGGCCATTTGTATTCATTAGATCGTCTCCCTGTTATTCCAATTCCCATGATTGTCCTGAAATGTTTATCTTCCATTCAATCTGTTCTTCTTCTTTCTCCTCAAATTTCTTCTGATTTATATAGAAAGTCTTTTCCATTTTCCATTGTCACTCCTTTTTCTGGATTTCCCATTAACTGTATTTGTTGGTCAGTTGAATCCTCTGTCAGTATTTGATTGTTCCATTTCTTCTGTTATCTTCTATGTTGTTAGTTCTTGGGTTATAGTCAAAATTTGGGTTTGTGTATCTAAGCTGGCATCTTGTTCTTTTATGTTGGGTCTTATTTTGTCAGAAGCTGAAAGAATGGTTTCATGTATTGCTTTCAACATGGAAAGGATCTTTTCCTGGTCTTCATCCATATTCTCTTAATAATGTGTTGAGGACTTTAAAATCAGACATTAAAAATAATTTTATAACTAGGCATGGGACCTCTATATCACGTGTTTATAGGTAGTCTTTATAGTAGAAGTTGTTTGTCAAGTAAGATTTTATAGTCCAAGGTGTTTCATCATCTCATATAACAGTGATGGCGAACCTTTTAGAGACCAAGTGCCCAAAAACTGTCCTGTCCCGCCTCACCCCGCCCCCCCATCCCACTGCCTCTGCTCCGCCTACCCACAGGGACACCCACTGCTTCCACGGCCTGCCGCAGATCACCCAGGTGGCCTAGTAGCGCCATGGCGGCCATGCCCTCCACCCACACCATCATTTGCCGTGATGGGGCGCAAGGGTGGAGTCTTGTCTCTGCTGCCCGGCTGCCATGTCCTTGGCTGCACTGCTCTATGCGGGCCGCACCTGGGGGCGACTCTCCAGGGGGCTGCTGGTGAGGAGGGGGCCACAGGGGTAGGCGGGGCTGGGGTGACATTTCGCGTGCCCACAGAGAGGGCTCTGAGTGCCGCCTTTGGTACCCGTGCCATAAGTTCGCCACCACTGTCATATAATAACCAATGTTCCTAAGTTAAAGAAATAGGAAAGCAATTCCCCACATATAACTCTGAAAGTCAGTAAAGGTTTACATTCATAGTTCAAGCAGGCCAGTTATGCCGCCCAGAAGTTCTCTTTACAGCTGAGTTTCTCACAGGTGGTCTCTATCAAGGTTAAAAAAGTTTTATCTGAAGTCTGGGCTTCAAACCAAGTCTCTTTTAGGCAATAACAAATTGTAATACCAAACTTCACCACAAGATTTTTATGTATATAAATTGAGTGTGAATGTGTATTGAGTGTTTGGGGTATGAGAATGGTGGAGTCGGGGGCGGAGCCTGGTACTCCTCTGCTGAGTGCAATAGCAAAAGTGGGGGGGCAGGACTTACCCTTGGGCTTGGTTTGTATGGAAAGCTAGTCCGGTCAGGAAGGGAGAAGGCTGGTGAGGGTGGGGGTACTCCAGGGAGGGGAGAAGGTCGGAGCATCCCGGTTATGACTGGGATGGGCAGATATGGCGGGAGCCGAGGGGCAGGCCATCTTTGGGGAATAAGGACTCGCTATGTTAGAGCGATTCCTTGCTCCGGCCCCTCAAAAGGCTCATCCTGTAGTACTGGTGACAGGGGAGTATAAGGCCCTAATTGTAGGCTGCTGTTGCTTAATGCCAGGTCCGTTGTCAGCAAAGCCCCCCTTGTCCGTGATTTAATATTGGACAGCGGGGCAGACCTGGCATGTATAACTGAAACCTGGCTGGGCCCTGAGGGGGGTGTTTCCCTCTCGGAGATGTGCCCGGACGGGTTTGTGGTGCTTCATCAGCCTCGACATCAGGGCAGGGGTGGGGGAGTGGCAGTCATCGCTCGGAAGTCCTTGAGTCCTCGTGGGATTCCTGCCCCGGAGGTTGTTGGGTGTGAGTCCCTCCTATTGAAGTTGGGTTCACGGGTTCAGTTGGGCTTGCTGCTGACGTACCTACCTCCCAGCTGCGTTGCAACCCTGCCTGAGTTGCTGGAGTCAGTAGCCGGGTTGGCGGTGGAGTTCCCCAGACTTATAGTACTGGGGGACTTTAACCTACCATCACTCGGCGATCGCTCAGAGGCAGCGCAGGAGTTCATGGCTTCCATGGCAACCATGGACCTGACCCAGGTAATTCAGGATCCGACTCATAGGGGTGGTCACACACTCGATCTTGTGTTTCTCTTGGGGCAATGGAGACATGATCTGGAATAAAGGGGAATAGAGATCTCGCCCTTGTCATGGACAGATCATTTCCTATTGAGGCTGGTCTTCAGAGCATCACTCCCCCATCGCAGGGAGAGGGAGCCGACTAGGTGGTTCCACCCCAGGCGCCTAATGGACCCAGATCGGTTCCAGGAGGAGCTTGGGGAAATACCTGACTCCCTTGTCCACAACTCGTCCGGGTCCCTGGTTGCGGCCTGGAATGAGGCGGCGTCCGGGGCCCTGGATCGAATTGCGCCTTTGCGACCTCTCTGTGGTGGTGGTCCCCGGAGGGCGCCTTGGTTTACTGAGGAGCTCCGGGAGATGAAGCGCCACAAGAGACGTCTAGAGCGACGTTGGAGGGCCAGTAACTCTGAATCTGACTGATCACTATTAAGAGCCTATCTTAGGACTTATTTAGTGGCGATAAGGGCGGCAAAGCGTGTTCACTTTTCCGCACTTATTGCGTCCGCAGAATCTCGCCCGGCCGCCTTGTTTAGGGTGACCCGCTCCCTTCTTAAAGTGGAGGAGGCGGAGGAACCCTTGCGGGGGAGAGCTGAGGAGTTTGTTCAGTTTCTTTCGGACAAAATCGCTCAGATTCAGAGAGACCTGGACTCCGACTGGGCAGTGCCAGCCGAGTTGCCAGGGGCTGGTCTTAGTCATGTTATCTGGAGTGAGTTTGAGCCTGTGACCCCTGTTGAAGTGGACAAGGCCGTGAGGGCAATGAATGCCGCCACCTGTTTATTGGACCCGTGCCCCTCCTGGCTGGTTTCTGCCAGTAGGGAGGTGACACGAGGCTGGCTCCAGGCGATAATCAACGACTCCTTGATGGAGGGGTCTTTCCCGCAACCTTTAAAGGAAGCGGTGGTGAGGCCCCTCCTCAAGAAGCCTTCCCTGGACCCAGCTGTTTTGAAGAACTTTCCTCCCGTCTCCAACTTCCCCTTTGTGGGGAAGGTTGTAGAGGAGGTGGTGGCATCCCAACTCTTGCGATCCTTGGATGAAACTAATTATCTGGACCCTTTTCAAATACAAGATGTTACCAATACCGTTTAAAGTTTTTTAAGTCCAAAATTTTTATAATCCTTTTTCCAGTTTTATTTCTTTTTTATAGATAAAAACAAAAGTCTCCAGTAAAAATGAGAAAACTTTTGGTCCCCAAGTTTCAGAAACACATAAATCCAATTAGATTAAAATTGTTCTTTTAGTGCTTTAACTCCCCTGGGTAGTCAGTCGCCGCTATTCTTAGAGGGTAGGGCAGAAATTCCCTTCCCTCTCTCCTCACGGGGGGGAAAATACACTTTGGGCAGCTTTTGCAGGAAAAGAAAATACTTAGGATCTTAAAGAGAAGATCAGATCTCACCCAGTTTTATCCGTGTTACTTTAGAAGTGCTTGATGGTAAGTTTGACTTTGGCTGTCTGCAGCTTAGTGACAAGCCATATTGCTATGGCCGGTCTTTCCTCTGCTGGTTTGGAGGGCTGTCCTGGATCAAGAGGAAGGGCTGCTGCCCTCCCGCAATCAAGCGGGGATCCCCTTCTTGCTCGTCGCCCCTACAGGGTCCCCCTCGTCCCTAACCAGGGTCCCCCAGTGGAACAAAATCGAATGCGTTAGACACAGCTCGCCTCACAGCTGTGGCGGCTGCAATGGCAAACCGGAAGTCTATATGAATACAGTTCTGATGGAGAATGTGTATCTTTCTCCAGTTCTGTTTATAACAAGAACTGAGTCACATAAGACTATGCTAGCATTGTGTACAAACATTTGCACAGTGTATGGGCTAGAGCAGGGGTAGGCAACCTTGGCCCTTTTATGACTCGTGGACTTCAGCTCCCAGAATTCCTGAGCCAGCATGGCTGGCTCAGGAATTCTGGGAGCTGAAGTCCACGAGTCATAAAAAAACCAAGATTGCCTACCTCTGGGCTAGAGTCTCCAAAGTCCAGATAGGAGATTCCACAGAAGGTGATGGAGAATAAGAGGGCTAAGATCCTGTGGGACTGATCCAGAATGATAGGCAGGTACTAGCCAATAAACCACACACTGTGGTCGTAGACAAGGACCAGAAGACAGTGGTGATGTTAGATGTAGCAGTCCCAAGTGACAGCAACACCAGGAAGAAGGAGTAGAAGCTGGACAAATAACAGGGCCTGAAGGAGGAACTAGAGAATATGTGGAAATTAAAGGCCAAAATGGTAACAGTAATAGCATTTAGCAATAGCACTTAGACTTATATACCGCTTTACCGCCCTCTCTAAGCGGTTTACAGAGTCAGCATATTGCCCTTAATAATCTGGGTCCTCATTTTACCGACTTCAGAAAGATGGAAGGCTGAGTTAACCTTGAGCTGGTGATATTCGAACTGCTGAACTGCTAGGCAGCCTGCATTCAGCAGAAGTAGCTTGCAATACTGCATTCTAACCACTGCACCAGTAGGCTAGAAACAGTCAGGCCTGTGACTTCAAAGCTGGAAGAGTAGATCCCAGGAACATTAGAGCTGTCTACAAGAGTGCAGTGCTAGGAACAGCTAAGATGCTATGCAAAACCCTGCTAGAAGACCCAAGATTAAGGAACCCATAGGGTGAGAATGGAAGTTTTTATACATAGACATAAACACACATACAACAGAGAGTATTCAAATCTTCCTGGAAAACTGTAGTACAAGAAATATAAAAATAATGTACAATATCCTTTCTACATTGAAATCAATTTAAAGTAGCATCAGGATTTCATTACAGACATAAAACGAATCTTACTTATGATTGGCACAATGCATAAAGTGTGTATGTAGACATTTTCATACCAATGTCTTTTATATAAGGTCAAATAAAATGAAGTTGCATCGTGTATCTCAGTCAAAATATCACTGTTCATATATCATTGCTTTAAACAATAGAGACTTGAATATTTTAGCAGAATATAAATAGGAAATACAAATTTGGATGAAAAACAATTAGCAATGAAACTTTAAATTCAGATTATTGTTCAAGAAAAACCTATGCAATTTACCAATGTTTTCTCTATCTAGTCTAGTCTGTCAAAATTAATCATTATAAAAACGAATGTACTTCCCTTCCTAAATATTATAATTTAGTTAAGAATGACAATTTTATTCATCGTCCTATTATGTCTGAAATAATAGATGTTGCACTCCAAAGATCAACCTTCTGGTGGAAACAGCTTTCTCTCCCCATAAGTAAGGCAATATATATCATGGAGAGTTTAAGGTGTCACTGAGCATTTACTCAAATATTTTGAGACATTACCGAGCAATGCAATCTTCTGCCTGCTTGTCATTGTGTAGTTTATGATATACAACTGCAGCCATGGCCAAAGGTCCAGCATCACCACATAAAAAAGTGATTGATCGCTTTGTCAAGCAACTAAGACTCTTCTTTATATATTCTTGAGCCATCTGAAGATAGGATGGGTCTCCATATACCTCATATAGATGAAAATATAGCAAAGCAATGCCTGAAAAAATATTACAAATAGCACTATTATTATTTAACCATTAGCAACTAATAATAATTTCATTTTATTAATTGTAATTGCCTTAACTTACAATGGCAACTGGAACTGGAATTTTGGTCATACGTTGTGATGGTCATAAGTCAAGACCAGATGTAATATTATGACCATTTTTACAGCATTAAACCATGTGTTAAACAAATCACATGGTCCTAAGTCTAAATCCATTCTCCTGAATTCACTTTTTACCAAAAAACAGCAAAAGAAACAAAAAACAGCAAAAAAACAGCCAACTTAATCATGTGATTATATGATGCTGCAATCGTTGTAAATGAGCCAGTTACCAAGTGCCCAAAGTGTAATTATGTGACTGTGCAGGAGGGGAAGGGTACAGTTTATGATGGCATAAAAAAGCACCCTTTTTAATGCCATTGTAACTCTGGAAAATCATTAAACAGCAGTCATAAGCCAAAGATTACTATAAAATTATACTGTCTATTAAGACAAAGCCTTTTCAATTGTGCAGTAATACAAAACAGAAAATCATGAAATTACAGTGCTAGTATTTTTATGATAATCCCAAACCATAAAATATTTCCAAAAATAGGGAAATACGTTAAAGTTACATTAAATGTACTATCTGCAGTCTAACCATAAATATCCATTGTCATATATTTAAAGATACTTTCTAGATAATTTTGGGTTAATACTCTTAGAGATGGACAACAATCCTGACAATCAGGGTTACTATGTACATAACACTCTTGTGAAGATCTTATTGACAGAAACTTGTACTTGATGCATTTTCATCTCAGATGCTAATGCCATTAATAGATTTAATTTTTAAACCTAAAGTTTTAATCTTTAATACCCTGGACGACTTTGATCATATCACATTTCTAAGTCCATTCATCATAGAATGACCTAGGTCAGGAGTAGGCAACCTTGGCTCTTTTATGACTTGTGGACTTCAACTCCCAGAATTCCTCAGCCAGGAGGATATATAAGATCTAGGGATATATAAGATCAGTGTGGCCAATGTGAAATAGTATAATGCAAAAACAAAACAGAAAACAACCAAACCCTAAATTATGTAAGACAAAGAAAAAAAAGAAGAATGTGACCATGATCCACTGGGAAAAAGTCAATAGAAGGACTTCACACAGAAATAAGGAGCTGCTTCTTTTTTTAAAAAAGAAATCCACACCCAAGTTTAACAATAACAGCAAAAAATCATTATTCAGCATTTCTCATTGAGAGCTTGAATATTTGATGCATAACACAAGTTATGCCAAAAGGTGATGCCTTTGTTTTATGATTTTACCATTTCCAATATCATGATTTAGTTATGTCAACTAATTTTTAGAGGCCAAAATAGATCTAGGTTTATATTCAAATACTGACAAAGACTTGGAGGCTTTGGAATAATGACCTTTCAGTGTAGCCAGATAATCCTTTATCGGAAAAACACTAACAGAATCAAGAATGATCAGCAGGAAATAGGAATTATAAACCTAGCAAGTCATAAAATGCCAAGGTCAAAAAAGGAACAATGATCTACTGAAAACAGGACATCAGAAAATGTGGATTATTTCCAGTAAAGAGGAAAAGTTAGTAAATGTATTAAATACAAATAGAAACATTAAGTCTGAAGTCTTCAAGGAAATAGTATGCATTGTAGAGGCATCTTCAGAAATAAGTACTGAAGGAAAGAGTGACACAGTTAATTTCAGATTTTTCATTTTTTCAATTTATAGTGTACTTTCAAACTCATTAACCATTGCTAAGAGGATGCAGACCTCTGTACTTAAGCTTATATTAAAAATAAATAAATAAAGGGAAAGAAGAGCAGCTTCCAAAATTACTTTCTCCTGCTCATCGGATTTTTTAAATTTAGATCATTTTCTCATTCTGCATAGGTAATCTCCCAAGCGTCATACCACAGCCAATTCAATTATGCATGTATATTAAGGACAAATCTCCATTTCCTGCTGAAGTTAATAACCTTGTCCACTTGCTAGACAGTTTCTGTGATAGTACTATCAATGAAGACCGTAAAAAGGTATTTTATCGTAAGTCTCACCTGAAACTATTTTTAAGAAGAAAATGCCTTATTCTGGATATCACCATATTTCTATGAGCTAATTAAGTCATAGCACAGTATCAAAATTTTAACAGTAGCATGGAATAAGCAATATTTCCACATTTCAATTTGTATGATAGAGAGTTGCAGACTTTAGGGTTAAATGTAACTTTTGGTTGAAGTTTGCAGATGAAATAAAAAATGGGTTCACAGAGAAAACTAGGTAAGGAAAATATATTATACAGGCCTGTGAGAATAATTAATACTCCAATACTTAAAACCTAGCATTATCCAGATTTTTGCCTTTTTCTGAGTCTGAAAGTAAAAACCTTTTCTTTTAGAATCATTAAGAATTTACATCTTTTAATTTTTAAAGAATGGCTGACATGTTTATGATTCTGCAGAATGTACTCAATGTTTCGTGACAGTTAAACCACTATGGTTATGGTCAAATCTTACACTCATTATTGTAATTACCTCTGATGGTACTGATATGACACTATGTATTTCTTTAATAGTCCCTCCAATCTTATCTATAAAAGTTTTCTTTTTTTTCTTAAGTGGCTAATTTCTCCTGAACTGGTATACAGTAGTACAATGTAGCAGTTTGCGCTGCTCCCCCACCATAATTGGTTTACAAAAGAACCAAAAATCCCTTTCTTGTGCATTTGTTTACAGAGAGCTTAAACCAAATGAAGAAAGCACTAGCAGTATATACAAAATATAATTTACACTACAGTATATATTTTGCAAAGAGGAACTAATAGAAATATCCACTAAAAACCACTGAAGATGCAAATAGGAATGGCCTTCTACAGTTTTTGGAGTTGGCAATATAGAAGAAACCAGTTTATATCTAAATATTTAGATTTCTACCCCAAAGCATACATTTAATTTGCTGTTTTTTAGATATAAAGTAGAGACAGAAACTAATCACAATTTTGTTCAGGGCTCAATTTAGAAAAAAGATAACTGCAACTGAACCAAACTGTCAGAATCCAATTATATTTCATCTTTAATCATCAAATATAGAAAACCCCAATTCTGCCTTCTCTGGATTCTGCCATAAGAGGGAGAGAAGGGGGAGAACAAAGGGGCTTTATGGCCCTCACTTCCTTCAGTACACTTCAAAGAGCTGAATGTTGTTTATTGTAACCAAAGTGTTAGCATACCAAAGAAGGGTATTTGCCTTTCATGTAGTTATCTGAAGTCTCCATCCAGACGGAAGAAAGAATCACTGGAAGGGGGGTTGATTGGGTGGGACTACTGGGGAACCCCTTAAAACCTTGAATGGGAGAGCTTGAACCCCAAGTCCTGTCTAGCACGCCTGCAACCATTTTCTCTTAATAAAGGATTCCTGTTGGAAGAATTATTCCAAGAGTTCTGTCTTCTTAAGATGCAAAGTGGGGTGGGTCCTTACACAAACTGTAATCTGAACTTAAGTTTCTGACATCTTACTGGTTTCATTTCCCTAACAGATAACATTCAAACTTTGTAATTAAAAAAACAGATACAATTTGCAGAGCGAATATATGCTTCTAAAAGGATAATTTTTAAAAATCTGATTTTTTTTTAGAAGTCCTTTTTATAAAATTTTGGAACTAACAAAATGATGCTTGCTGGCATAGTGGCAGAGACACGGGGAAAGAGCGAAGTTAACACAATTACTGGAATGGGACCTTTAGGCACAGACTCTTTCGCCTCCCACCTCAGCCCATTTACAGCCAGCTTTCCTTCTCCGCTGCTCCTCCCCCAGTCATTCTCCGTGGCCAATAGGCCCCTGGCCCTCTGCCTTACATCATTCTTCCTGGCCCATTCGCTGAGGCATCCTTTGTCTTGGGTCTTTAGCTGCAAGGGACAAATAGACACCAGCCAATCGGGGCAGCGTGCAATGGGTGATCACAGGGGCTGTAGGGGGGGCAATGTATGTTGCAAGATTTTTTTAAAGAGTGCTGCAGCTGTTCCAAAAGTTTTGGGACCTTGCAGCTCTGTCACCAAGACTGGAAGAAGGGGGAGTGGTGGCAGAGGTAGCAGCCACCGAGGCCACTGGGAAGAGCAGACAGGCGAAGATGTGTTGGGGGACCAGGAAGGGACAGAGGGGTGCCTCAAGGGTGCTTCAGAAAGACAGCTTGACTCACAACACAAACAAAAACAAAAGAATGGAGGAGGAGCAAGGCTAGTGCGGATTCTGGCATTGTGGGGAGGCTCAGCAGGCAAACAGCAGAGGGTCGGGGGGAGTGCAGGCGAACAGTAGGGCCAGGACACCGTCTGTGATTGCAGAGAGGTGGAGGGGGGGTGCGCAGAGGAATGGCAGGGCCAGAGTGGCGATTGAAGGGGGGGCAGTTTCAGGCTGGCCATTTGCCTGGTGCCCACCCCACCCCGTGCCAGCGTGACATCAAATGGGTGGTTGCCTGCCGCCATCCCCCTCAGAAGCTATGGCTTTACTTGCACACACCCATCCCCCTGTAATTACAAACGCCACGCCAGCCCTGTCGTTTGCCTGTGGACCCCCCACACCTCCTACAATCGCAGATGCCGCACTGGCCCTGCTGTGCCTCCCTCCTCAATGCTCCTCCTTACTCCTCCTCCTACTTTGTTTGAGTTGCGAGCCAAGCTGTCTTTGTGAAGGTCCCTTGAGGTGCCCCTCCGTCCCTTCCTGGTCCCAACATACCCTCGCCTGTCTGCCCTCCTCAGTGGCCCCAGCGGTTGCTACTCCTGGTGACAGAGCTGCAAGGCCCCCAAAACTTGCGGAGCAGCCACAACACTTTTTTTTAAAAAAAAAATTGCATTGCACACTGTCCCCCCACAGCCCTTGCGATTGTCCATCGCATGCTGCCTCGGCAGCACCATGGCTTCTGCCTGCCACCCGATTGGCTGGTGGCTATTTGTCCCATGCAGTCAAAGGCCCAGGACAAAGGGTGTCGAGGCTAAGGGTGGAGGGCCAGGGGCCCATTGGCCAGGGAGAATGGCTGGGGGAGAACCAGGGGAGATGGAAAGCTGGCTGTAAATGGGCTGAGGTGGGAGGCAAAGGAGGAGTGGCCAAGGGTCCATGCCTAAAGGTCCTAAACCCGTTATTATTGTATCAAGGTAAAACCAGGCTGATCTGCACAGATCATGTTCCAGCCTTTCCTGTTTGTTGGCACAGAGTTCTATCCATTTATAGAATTCTAGCATGACATGTCTTTACGCTTTTATTGATACTATAAAACTGTTCATTTAACAAAACTGTTTTACAGAAAATAAGCAAAGCCTTATACTGCTGACACTGCAACTCCTCTAACCCAGAGGCCCCTCTTTTGGGCACCAGGGACCAGTTCCGTGGAGAGAGGTTTTTCCACAGACCAGAAGGGACATGGTTTCATGTACTGTCTGCAACCCGCCGATGGGGCTTTGCTTGTTTGCACAGACCAGTTTCTGGCATGCCATAGCCTGGTGCGGGTCCACGAACTGGGGGTTGGGGACTCCTGCTCTAACTCCTCTAGCGTAGGGGTAGAACTTTCAAAGATAAGAGCCACGCACAGGATTTTAAGGCGGGGTAGGCAACAGAGGAGGGCTACAAAATAGGTAATGTGATATCATCTCTGGGCAGGCCAAGATTTGGGAATAACTTTTGGGGAGTTTCTTACTTTAAAAAAATCCACATGATACGGTTTGATACACTACAATTCTCAACAGTCCTCAATCTCAGAATGGAAGGAAACATGCTGATCATTTTCAGCAATCATAATCAGAGGATATTCCAAGGGCTACAAAATGAAAGTCTGCAGGTTGCCCACACAACCTGTGATGAGGAAGAAACAGCACCTTTTTAATGTGCAGTATGCAAGGGGACTGAGGACATCGTTAGATGAGTGAGAAATACTTTGCCCTTCAGGGAATCTTTGAAGTTAATGGAAAATACCATGGCTTCTTTTCAAAAGGTAGTTCTATGCAATTTTGGCAGTTTTAATGAAGTTTAAATAGATGCCTACTGCTTGGTGACAGTAACATGGGAGGAAATGTGGAGTTAAATTTGCTATTAAACCTCAGTCCCAGCATATGTCTAAATGGCATCAACCTCTACAACAGATAAAGTATGATTGGAAGGGCTGGGGAAGGTCTCTCCCAGAATTATTTATTAGCAGTCATATACGTGTCAATTGTTTTCAGGTTGCCAGGGAAAAAATATTCAACAAGCCTTTCTTACAGAGGCAGTTAAGAAAGAACACTTTGATCCAATTCATTTCTTATAATCTGAAATCATACTGAATATCTTAGTAAATTCAAAATCTTGGAAGGCATTGGGTATAAAAAAATGAAGGAAAATACATCCTATGGTAAAAACACATTTCATTTCATTGGAAATGGCCAGGTTTGCAAAGAAAAATCTGTAAGCAGAAAATAGATTTGACTGGTGGAATCTAGGAAGGCCTTTTTGGCTGCTGTCCCTGCATTGTGTAACATCTTGCTGTCAGAGGTGAAGAAAGCCCCCAATATCTTGGCCTTCCACAAAGGGATCAAAACTTGCCTGTGTAGCCTTGCGGGGAGCGGGCAGGGGCGGGGAAGAACACATTATTTTGATTTTAATGTTTAATTTGATTCAATTGTACACCACCGAGAGACCCTCTTCGAGAGATAGGTGGTTAAGAATTATAAAATATAAATAAATAAATAAATGAAACAGAAGTACTGAGATTCTAAAATTAGATTCTAAAAGCCCCATCTACTACAATACCACCGAGAATAAAAAATTAGAGACTGTAGACAAAACCAGCATGGCTTCATAAAGAACCCTCTAATTAACTGAGAGACAAAAGGGACAAGTATAAAAAATAGAAAGAGGAACACAAAACTAAAACCGAATACCAGCAAACAGCTTGAATCTGCAAGGATGGAGTCAGGAAACTTAGAATGAACCAAGACTAGCAACAAATGTCAAAAATAATAATAAAGGGTTCTTTCAACATATAAAAAACAAAATAGTCAAGGAAACAATTGGTCCACTTATGGGAGAAGATGGGAAGGAGGTGATAGATGGCAGGGAAAGTGGAACTGCTTAATTAATTCTTTGCATCTGTCGTTATGCAAAAGAAAAAAATAATCCAACCTATCAAAAGCAGTACTGTGGGAGACAAAGTAGGAATACAAGTCAAAATAGGTGTGAACTAGTCTTCTAATATTTGATGGGCTGTCACAGGGAAGAGGGAGTCAACCTATTCTCCAAAGCACCTGAAGACAGGACAAGGAAGATGGGAGGTGTAAGATTAAAGAGAGATCAAACCTAGAAATATAGAGAAATTTCCTTACAATGAGAACAAATCAGTGGAACCATTTGCCTCCAGAAGTTGTGGGTGCTTCATCACTGGAGGTTTTCAAAAGAAGATTGAATTTGTCCTGAATTACACAGATCTCCTATTTGAGAAGGGGCTGGACTAGAAGACCTCCAAGGTGCCTTCCAATCCTGTTATTCTGTTCTATGAGACAATTCTATCCTTAACATAAATTTAACATAAATCATTTAAGATTTTGCATGTCATGTATATGACGTGTCATGTATATGACATAAAACATGTGTTGTGTATATGACATGTTTGTATGCTAGATTTTGTATGTCAAAACAAATACTGTAATAAATTCCTCCATTTCACCAGCTGTATTCAAAAAACACAAATTCTCCTTAACCCCCCCCCACTTAACTTGTTTAAATGTAGATTTTTGTTATTTGCATAACAAATAACTTTAATCCACTTTAAACTAAACATTATGATTTATTGATTAGCCATTTGAACTGGTTAAAAGTGTGACTGATTAACAAGAGAATGTGCCCCCTCCTCATGATCTGAGCAGACATTTTTAGAAACTTGATTTTCAATAAATGTTCTTGCAAATGCTTCCTCCCGCTGTCTCTATATGGGCTTATTTACAGTGGAAATTTATAGAGGTATTGGCTATGATTTCTTTAAACAAGCAATCATCAAAATTCATGTTTTATTAGCACTACAATATGAATGCAGAATATTGTTTCAAGGAATATACATGGGCACATATGAGTGTGAGAATCCAAAATAACACTTTAGCATTTTCTATAATATAAAGTTTCTCAGAATATCCCCACTCCTCAACAGACAACTACAGTAATCTGTACTGCTAGTAAGAATGTGGGACCAATCCTGACTGAAACTATGCAAAGGGGCGAATGTGGTTTAAACATCACTCTTTGCTCACTTGGTTTGCAAAATGTTCCTCAGTCTAATCAAGTACTTTAGAAAAAAGGAAAAAAGAACAGAATTGATAATTTAGTATTTGTTTAAGACTTTGCCAAAGCTGTTATTTAAAATGTAATGTTTTATTCAAGTGTTAATCATTTAAGAAGAGTTTTCCCTGAATTTGAACAATTAGCTTAAAAGCCTAAGGAAGTTTCACTGAATGAAGCATATCCTAGAAAGTAAAGGTTGCAAACATATTGGGCCTTTATGTTCCTTAATATCTATGGCAGTGCTTCTCAATCCTGGCAACTTTTAAGATACGTGGACTTCAACTCACAGAATTACCCAGCCAGCATGCCAGTCTAAGGAAATGCTCATGCCACCAATAGAATGAAACCAAAGTTGTGCCACCAACTCAGGAGAACTGAGAATGTTTTTTGTCTGAGAAGAAGACATAAAGGACAGTAGCCTAAAAGAGAAAGAACTTAATGTATTGATCTGAGTCAAATATTGTTACAAAGTGGTATACATTAAAACAAAAATCAACTAAAACAGCTTCAGAGCTCAATAAAAATAAAACCATTAGACATATACATCCATGCTGAAGCTCCCAAATGCTTCCTGCTTGCAATGTGTGGGGGAGCAACCTGGTCTTGATGGTCTAGTAATGAAAGGCCTAGGGATTGTGTTATTTCAGGGGGAGGCTGTCCAAGGAGCTGGTGCCATGACAATGAAGGCATATTTCCAGGGACCTGCTAAATGGCATGATTGTATTGATAGTACCAGCAGCATACCCACTGTGCCAGATCTAGTGGGGCAGGCAGAAACCACTGTAGAGAGGCAGTCCCTGGTCTCCACCATGTGGGGCTTTAAAGTGACCAGCACCTTGAATTGCACCCAGAAGCCTACTGTGAATCATTGCAGCTCACATAGCTCTCAAATGAATCAAGTGACAAGATTGTACAGCATATGGTTTAGTTTTTCTAAAACTCAAGTCCACAATAGTTTATTCATTAATCATGGTTAAGTGTGATAGGTGCAAACACACTCCTAATATATTTCAAAAGAATAGTGAGAAACTGGCTTATCAAAAAGCAAAGTAACAGTAAACTAGATTTGAATTCCAGTATAGCAACACAGAGACATCTCTGATAAAGTAGAAAGGATGGCAGCCATTATCAATCAGCTGCAACAACAGCAAAAGGAGGAAACCTAATTCTTTTTTTTTTTTTTTTTTTATTTCTCAGTCCAAATAATTACTATCACATTCGGGAATACTTTGGAAATTCAGGAGATAATCCATCCTGAAAAAAATCAAATACCTTACACATCCCTTGATAAATAACATTTGAGGATTCCCCAAGTCTTTCCTTCTTCAAGACAAATTCAATCCCAGCAGTATAGTAAGACCATATGTCCTCCAGCCACTCTTTAAATATCCAGAGTTTAAAATGTGCCATTTAACATTCACATTTTGCAGGTCTCCCATCCTACCTGCCCAGCCAGTATAACAAGTACAGTCCCTGGGGTCAGCAGATTTCAGACCTCTTTCCATGTGTTGAAGAAGCTCCTTGACTTTATTATTCAGATGCTGAGTGAATTCAGGAGTGAGCTGTAGATGTTAATAAAAACACAGCAGTTATGTCTCAGCAGACAGATTGTCACTTATCAAGATGTGCCAAACTAAGTCCTTTGAAAGGCTCTACACTTTTAAGAGAACCACGTTTTTAGAAATAAAAAGGAAATAAACAGCTGCCAGACTGGAAGCAGTAATTTAAAAAGGGAAAGAATCCAAATTCATTTTTATAGCAAATCCTACGTCTTCAGGCACACTTTCTTCCAAGTAACTATTAATTAAAAACTGAACCTTAAATATTTAAAACTGTATTTCTCTCCCCTGGTGATACTGTACAGTGGCTATCCATGCCTATTACCCTGAGGTTATTGGAGTGCTGTACTTTCCCCTGAGGGGGTCTTGAAGGCTACTCAAATTTTTAAGAGTAGATTCTGCTAGATGATTGCCATTAGACAAAGAGGACAGAAATAGTATCATACAATATTACTTGACAGTCTGTGCTGACTCACCACAATTCTACCGCATGGAAGCTTTTGTACAGGATACTATAGATTAACCAGCATTTGCTAGGGTAAGCATAAAAAGCTTGAAGGAGATATCCATTTCTTAACACAGTCCGGTATTATCAAGGCTCTAAGCCTAAAAACCCTTTCAGGTTTGAAACTTTGCGATGAACACTGGCAGCATATAGAAATACATGCATAACATAAAGGTTGAAAGGGAAATTATGCATGAGTCCATTACTATAGGAGATCCCTGACGTGGAGATCCATCCTGTTTAAAGACCTCTAGTAAATCAAGGAATTGTGCCTCATAAAGGACCAAATTCTGCCCCCTTGTAAACCCATTATTTCTTGACCTGTACTCTGGTACAATTCTGAAGGCTTCTGTCACCCACCATTTCAAAAATAAATGGTTATTTCTCTTTGATATTCTATTTATGTTGATGCAGCCTAGGATTGCAATTATTTATAGCTGCATCCCATTGTTGGTTCATATAGTTTGTGATCATCAAAGCAGCCAGAACTTTTTTGTTAGTACTTCTGCCCAGCAATTCCCTCCCACCATTTGAAAGTCCATAACCAAATATAGGACTTTGCATTTATCCTTGTTGAAATTCATTCATCTGGTTTTTATACATTGTCAAAATTCCCCTGAACCCTGATACTGTCCTCCAAAGTATCTGCTACTACCTCCCTATGTTGTCTGAATATTTGGTAACCATATTTTGTAACCCTCAGCCAAATAATGAATGTATTAAATAGCCAGAGGATAGAACAGAAATCTACAGTATATCACTTGACACTTCCAGCTGGGCACCAAATCACTACATACTCATTGTGGGGCAATTGTTTAAGCTGCTCTGTCTCCATTTATGGATTATGTGTGATATATAATAAATTGCACTAATACAATTCATGTTGAAAAGAGCCCCTACAGATTAAATAAGCCTGCATTAGATAGTTAGGGTATCCATATTTTATTCTTCCTCTGATTATTTTGCCTCATTAAAAAAGTTTGAGGAGGAATTATTTTTGATATTCTAAAGCAGTGGTTCTCAACATTTCTAATGCTGTGACCCCATAATACAGTTCCCCATGTTGTGGTGACCACCCCAACCACCGGGTGCCAGGGGCGTGGCCAAAGAAAAGGGGGGGGGAAATGGCGGACAGCCTTGTTTGGCGACCCCCGTGAAATGGTCGTTCGACCCCAAATGGGGTCCTGACCCACAGGTTGAGAACCACTGTTCTAAAGGCCATACTAGAGAATCAAGCCTTCTTTGCTTTGCTTGAAGCATTATTTCTTCTTGAGGTATACCAAACCAATCTGATTTATATATTTATTTCTGACATTGGAACCATAAAGTGCTTGAAACTCTCCACCCCAACTCCTGAACCACATCCCTTTCATTATTTAGGATATAAATAAATATAGTTACCTGTGACAAGAAGAACACTAGTTATGTGTTATGTAAACACAGAAAGAAGTCCAATTATGTCTAAATATGATAGGCCACTTTACATTCCAGTTGACTAAAACAAGTGTCAACACATTTTTTTTCTCTATGTTTTCTGTTTTATTTTGTTAAGTTCCAAGAATTGGTTATCCTATTACAAAATGTGTTAATTCCCCTGTACAGAAACATTTAAATTGCTTTTCAGAAAATGCACAAGCGTCATAATGATGTTGACAGCAGGAAAAAAATAGGTTCTGGTGAAACCTCTTCAGACCATTCTGGATATGTCCTTTAATCTGTTCCTAAAGAAATACTTCAAAATATTTTTAGTTAGACTGTACAGATTTGCCAAAGATAAAGTACAGAGTTGTCAATTAGACGTCTTTGTGATGGGTTTATTGGTGCAGCGCTTTGTCCCATGCTCTTTAGGCACCCGAGCTAAGATTTCTAAAGATTGGTAGGTAACAGTTATGCCTTCAATGGCCTCCAGAATGTACAGTCTCACAATACCTAGGCATTGTCAGCTATTACAAGTAAAAAAAATAAATGCTGTACTGTGTTGTCTGAAAAGGGCTCAGATACATGCGTATTATAGAGTCAAACTCAACTAGAATGACTTGAAAATAAGTTTTGACTGAAATATACAGATAGCAAGTTTAGCAAGTGCATTGTTAATGACCATTTGCAATTACAATGATGATGAAAAATTAACTTTCCGGCCAATCCTCATAAGTCTATAAAGCACAGGAAGGCTGAAGTAAGATCATAAACACAGTTGTGGTTTCACTTAGCTTTGTTTAATAACTAAATTGCTAGCCCAATTGTGGTTGCTAAATGAGGACCATCCATAGACAGCTAAAAACAAATGCAATGTAACTGACACGTCTGCTTGTAACTGATGTTTAACCTGAAGCAGAATACATTTTTCATAAAGTGTTAGGTATATAAAATCTTAATAAAAAAACAACTGGAACCATTTAAATGTAAATATACACATCCATGTATAATAGCCAATATCCATAAAAGGAAGACTTGGGTAAAGATGCATCTCTAGGAGGCATCTGAAACAGGTCCTAGCAGTTGCTGCCAAAGGGCAATCTAAACCAACAAAAAAGGATTCTCTTGAATGTTGTGATTTTTTGGAAAGAAACTGGTACAATACCCAGAGTCTTTTCCCAAATTCATACTTAGATGTTTCACTCAGCATTTATTGGTTCTCTTTTGATACTCTTCCACCTAAATTGCCTGACATTTTTTATGATTTCAGAGATGTGGCAAACACTATGTTTAACACACCTGGGTTTATACACTCATATTTGTGGATAGCACAGCACGTATTTCTCCACAATATATTAGACACTTTATGCTCTAGCCAAAAATCTTATTGTGAATGTGTAGATTATCTTCTGAAGAAGTAAAGCTGTTGCCAAATATTTTGCCTAAGGGTACTGACAGAGTAATTACAGTTCAGAGTTCCTGGCTTTCCTAGGGATAGTCTCATGCCACACCTTTCTCTAAAAATGTCAGTTGTATTCAGTGAGCAGCAGCCGCAAAAACATGTTTTAATCTGAGTTTCATAATCAAGACAATCTCAATATTTAGAAGGCTTCCTTAATTGGAGTTTGAAAGAATTCACTGGGGAAATGCCATGGTTTTGATTCTATGCTTTCCACATACAAATGTATGAGAGTGAATCTTCTGTTTCTTCGTAAAATCATAGGTGATGCACTTAAGAAAAAGAATTCCACTATCCTGCTCCCAATCAATTTAACACAATTAAACTAATTTTGTCATTACCTCACAACTGACATGACCTATTAATATAGCTAAGTCAATGAGCACCCTTTAAAAATAGTTCCCCCCCAATTCCCACTACCAGTCATTAAATATTACTGAACTGTATTTCTCCACTACAGGACATGACACTAAAATTTATCTTCATTTATCCAAAACATACCCATGTTGCCTGATTTTGGGGGGCAATGTCTTTACAGAGCTTCCTTAAAAACTAAGAATTTCCACCTGTACAAACACCTTCAGGATGCTGTACAAAGGTGGCATTACAGGAACAGGAACCAGTGCTGTAAAAAAACGCATATAATTTTTGTCAAACTTTGTCCTTGAATTCAAAGTAAGATTAATGACATGGAATCTGGCAAACGATGTGTAAAAAGGTCTTTATGAAGTCAAGACTGAAAAAATAAAAATAGCAGCTTATTTACATTTATTTTCCAGATTACAGCCGCCAGGCGTTATGAAGAGAAAAAAGCCCAAATGCTTTCTTCTTCCCTCGCGGCTGCCACCAAAATTCACTGTATTTTTCAGGGAAAGAACCGCTTAAAAGGAGCAGCAAGCAGAAGCCAAAATCCAAGCACTCACCCTCCCTGAAGAATCAAAGTATCCTGCGGCCAAGGATTTGTCATAGTCTGCAAAGGGATTCGGAAAAGCCCTCTCAGCCATGGTGGCACCAGGCCTGCCGGGGAAAAAGAAAGAGCCGCTTACTCAACACCCACCTACCCCCACCCACCCCTCACCCAGAGACAGACTGCTCCGGCCTCAATCAAAAGCCTACTGCTGCACCCCTTCCAAACACCGTTCCCCGCCGCCCCCTAACAGCAGTAGCTGCTCCTCCACCTGCCAGGAGAAGAAAAAGGGGCGGCGGACGGTCCCGAGCCTGCGCCCGAACCGCAGCACGAGCCCTCCTTTGACTTCCGGTCCACGCCGCCCAATCGGCACCTCGGGCCTCTACTCCACGCTGCCGGTTTCTTAAAGGGGCTGGCCCCCTTTCAGTCTGACGGCCTCGCGAACTGACTGGGTTAACGGGCCTTCCTGGTCCTCGGCGCGAGACCTGGGCAGCGCCCCCATCGGATCCCCTCGGTTGTCCCTCGGACCGTACCCGCCCTATTGTATTTGGAAGAACTTCTCTCTCAGGGGACTTCTTCGACTCCGATTGAAAGCCTGCAGCTCCTTCTCCTTCGTCCCCACCCCCCGCTCCCAGGTCACGGAGGCTGCAAACTTCCTGGGAGATAGGAAGCTCAGGGTTTTTTTCTACGATGTCTAGCATCGTGCAGAGTGACCAATATTAATCATGAATTCATATTATGGGCGTTTATTAAAGTACAAACGCTAATATTGATCGTTACTGCGTTTTAATTTTTTGCAAACGCTTTTTGTTTTTACTTTTTAGATGCGCGGGGACATTTATTTGAGAATCCATTAAATGCTGAAATCATCTGTAAAAAAGATTTAAATAGCTTACCTATGGATTCACATCATACTAAGCGTTGATTTGTTACAAAAACTGCAATTGGTCCATTTTGCTGAACATGCTGAACAAAATCAAACGGTATTAGCATTTGATTCAGTTTCTCCTTTTGCCTCACTTCAGTTTCACTTCAGACCATTTCATGGCGTTCATTTTTAATAATTATGCTCGCTCCTTAGATGCTCCTTATTTATCCTTTAATCACTGAATACCAAAGCATGAAAAGAAGTTTGCATTTCTCTGCTTTGTTTGACTACAGGTGGACCTCCATGTATAACCAAAGTTATGATGGCCTTAGAATTTTCTGACCCATTCTTGCACTTAATGACTGCCACACTACCTCCATAATTATTCATTTATTTTATTTAGTATGTGGCATCTACAGGGGTCACTACCCCCATAATTATTCATTTATTTTATTTAGTATGTGCAATCTACAGGGGTCATGCAATCACTTGATACACAAATTTAATTTATATATATATATACATATACATATATATATATATATATATATATATATATATATATATATATATATATAGACAATATATATATATGGACAATACAATATAGGAGATAAAATATTAAATTAAGATGAAACCATAATAAAATCACCATAATATGGAGCAATAGAATTGCAATGGGATGGATGTCAATTCAATATCTAAAGAACAAACCATCTAACTGCTTCTGGTGTGGCTGCCTTGAAATTTCTTGAGAGTACATTCTTAAACTATATGTATTAGAGCAGTGGTTCCCAAACTTTTCTATTACCCCACACCCCTAGAACGCTTCTGATATATTCTCACACTCCTTACAAAAGTTTGAAACAACAGCAACAAATTATGCATATACACTATAATTTTGAAAACCAAATTGTTTGCGCACCCTGGAATATCGACTCGCACCCCAGGGGGTGCGAGCACCCCTGGTTGGGAACTCCTGTGTTAGAGTCTGTTCCGGAGCAGAACAGTCACATTGCAGGCTGTCAGCCATCACCACTTAAAGAGCTTTGGCTTAGTTCTTGCATGCTCTGCCTTAGTTCTGGCATGCTCTATCTTGATTCTATTCAGGTGGCTCTATATTTTGGTGGGCAACTTTTTTTTTTACGACCCTTGATCCCTTTATTCTGGGTGGAGTTGAGGTGACTGAATGGACTTCCAGTAAATACTCAGCTTCATTTAGTCACCCTGACTCCATCCCCGTAAAAAAGAAAAAAAACTTTATGCCTACCCTAAAACCATGATTGTGTGTGAGTTACAGCAAGTCAAGTCTGGTTGTTATGAAAATAAAATGGAAGGAGACAATCCCTCCCCCAAGGTAAGCTGCCTTAATCATCTTCCTCTTCTTCCTAAAATTATCATCAATAGTATTCTATTCCTATGTTAGAATGCAGGTATGTTAAGTAACCATTTTTTCCTGTAATAACCTGAAATGGTCTCTTATTTAAATCTGTAAAACAAATATATCACACTTGAAGGTAAATTCTTAGGTAAGTATTATCAAATTCAAATATTATTTGAATTTGAGAGGCGTTTTTACTTATCTTGTTTCACTTTATGTGTAAGCTTAAGTCAGCCTTTGAGATAATGATTCCCCACATTAAAAATGAGAAAAGTCTATTCCCCAAATTAGAAAAATATTTTTTGGGAAGTCTGTGTGCATACCACATTTTTCAGAAAAAAACCCATTCTCATACTGGCCTATAGTTTTAGATACAAACACATATCTATCCATATGCTCATCCAAAGAGGACTGCAACACATTACAAGGTTGGAGTACTTTTGACAGACTCAAATATGAGTTTAACTACAGATAAATCCCTGATTTAATGGGTTACAGGATCGTTGCTGTAATCTATGAATTTATTGTGTTATATTATTGTTGTACAATTTTGTTTTGTTGTTCTGATCATTTATCAAATAAATCATAAGTAAAAGGCTGATGCACTAGCCCTAGTACCAAAAATTGTTATATTTTTTCTAGCTCTTTGATATCATTGGCTATTATCACACTGTGGCAGCTCATTCCAAAGATTAATGGATAGAATGAAATCAGTGAAAAATATATTTTGGAAATGTATTTTGAAAATAACCAGAGCACATTTTTCCTTCCTCATAACAAGCAACGCAAAGGAGAAGATAAAATATGATTTCTTATATAAACCACAGGGACACGCCAAGTTTGGTAGTGTGGGTGTATTTACTACTCTTAATGCCAACTTGTTATGGGTATATAAGGAAAGAAGTATACGGATGTTTAAACAAAATATCAAGGGGAAAAATATAATGTAGGGGTAGTGGGGAATTTGTGAAATGACTTTAAAATAATATATTTTAAATTCACATTCTCTACCAAATCTCTATCATAACCAACCAACACTTGACAATACATTTTAATTGGCTAGTCTAAAGTTGCAATGAAAAATCAGAACCAAAATCTCGAATCCTTCAAAGTAAACAACACAAAGGTTAAAAAAAGACATCAGTTCTCCTCTTGGTCATATATTTATATATAACTTCCAACTATTTCTCAAAAATATGATATTTGCAATGCTTAATAGTTTTGTTTTGATGCAGTCAATTTGGTCAACTAGATGAATACCTCCCTGGATTCTCTTTCCTTAGCAGAATCAGTCTAACCTAAAAGTTGTTAGTTGTGATTCTGCCTTGAAGTTTGTCTTTGATGTGTTTCAATCTGTTATAAATAAACTCAGATTTGATGTTTCCACAAAGTGTGTAGTTTTGTTCTCACAAACCTACATGTATTTGATAAAGCTACCGGATCAGAGCTGCAGACATCCAGATCATATAACCCCTAGATGGCAGCAAAGAGATTCAGCAGACTTCACTGCTATATTTTGGTTATCCAATCAGATAACCCAGATCTGGTTGTTCTCCTTGACAATTGGCTTTATATTGTCATATTAAGTCATGAAATGATTTGTTAGGTTTTTGTTCTGTATGCTTCTGAATCTAGTTGCTGCAGTTTGTAAACCTTTGTTTATAGCTTGTTAAAAAAAGGATAGTTGAAACAAATCATAACTTATTTTATTCTTTTTTTCCTTCTTCCCTGATTTTCATTAGTGGATTTGTCTTATTGAACAATGTATATTATAAAGATTGTTCTAATATAAAATATAAAAAGATACTGAAAGTGCAAAGAATTATGATATTCTGTACACAATTGATTAAGGGATAATTAATCTGAATTATCGCAGCATTAGTAATAGATTTTATTACGATCATTGACCAAACATACAAAGAAAAGAAGTTCTGATATGAATAAAAATCATACTAAAATTTAATTATAAAACAAAAATGGTCAAAATATGATGGTACAAACACAAAGTAAAACTTAGCTAAATACATAGAAATAAAATAACATTGAATATTGATCAGACAGTAATGACGGTAAATAAAAGATATCTGGGTGGCTGGGATATTTGGATGGGGAGTTATTAATTGCACTTGGCCACTTTTTTAATAAGGGCAATAATTTGGAAAAACTAATGTTTTGGGGCTAATGGGCAAATGTTTCACTGCAAGAACAAAGTCTTTGCATGAATGGAATGCCCCCAAAATTTCCCCTCTAAAACAGCTTTTGGAAGCTCAGTTTTAAAAGCATTATTTAGCTTAAATGTCTAGGCCAGTTGAAAAAAAAAAGCAATTAGGTAGTTATGGGTTCTTTGAAGCAGAGGTATTAGTGAGCTTCCCAAATGAACTTCCTTGAGGTGTCAGTTGAAACGCACCCACTTTCAGCATGCATTATTTCTTATTTAAAAATGCAATCTTAACAGCTGGCAACTCAGCTCAGTCTATTATTTGGGCTGTTACCAGCATACCTTGCAAAATTAATAAAATTCTCAGTAAACTGAGAATGAGAAGGCTGGATTTGATATCATGATAGGGAGAATTCCATATTTTGATACCCTTCCTGTTAAATTGTTAGCTCTTTGCTATAACATTGTAGTTTCAGGAAAAGAAAAACCTATGGACATTTTGCCTTTTCTTATTTCTTTGAGTGACAAGCTTTCTGTCTCCTAAATCTGTATCTCCCAAGGCCATATCAGTGAACTCCAGGTTTTTCCTTGGATAATTTGTACTAAAATATACATGCTTTACACTGGCTAGAAATGATGCACATTGGCTTAGTGCAATTCTTGTAATTAATTATAGTATTAAAATCCCTCATTCTCTCAACCATTCAAAGTTTGCAAAAATGGTATCAATGCTCACTTATAAGTTTTTAATATCATAAAATATTTAGATTGACTAAATTATACACTGGATAATTTGATTGGTGTGTGATTTGATTTGCTGTATGAATCTAACCTTAATGGGTTTCTGCAGCATGTAAAATCAGCTCTAAAGATATCAGAGATTAAAAAGAGTTTATTTCTATTGAATTAGTAAGAAATAATATGCCACCCAAACAGAATAGCCTGATTGTGAGATGGGCAGCTATATAAATATGATTTATAAATAAATAAAATAAGTATGCAAAATAAAGATAACCAGGTTTGATTT